CATCTTCCTCTCCTCATCCTCATCCTCATCCTCATCATGAAATGTGCATGACATGCTCTAGCTTGACTCACACTACTTCCAATTGTCCTATTGGATATGTTTTTCAAAGTAAGCAACAAGAGCAAGTGAATGCTACATTTGTTCGTCTAGGGAACAACCCCTATTCTAACACATACAATCCGGGGTGGATGGAACATCCAAACTTTTCTTGGAAAAATCAAGGAGACGGTGCAAACCCTCCTTAAGGTCAAGGTTTCCAAGTAAAGTATGTGCCCTTTCATCTCCAAAATGTTAATTCTCAAGGGTACCGTCCTTCCTATCCTCTTCACAATGTGAACCATTATTCCAATCCTCAAGTTTTAAATCATCAATCTTACTCTCATCCACCGCAAGCACCTCCTTGAAACTCCGCCTTTGAGGATAAGGTTTTGGCGGCCTCGGGTAGTTTATAAGCCAATACTCAAGTGCTCTATTCTCACTTTCAATCAATAGCGAAGCTTGAAACCCAAATCAGGCAAATAGCTAATTCTTTGAATGCAAAAGAGAATGGTAAATTGCCTATTCAACCTGAGCCTAAACTGCAATACATGTTGGAATCAACTCCCTCATCGGGATTTCCCATCCATGAGTAAATGAATGCTATAACCACTTTGAGAAGTGGGAGAGAGGTTGATAACAAAGTGGATTTACCTAGTGAAGATAGTGGCCCTTTACCCTCTATTCCCAAGCCTATTCTTACTTTACCAAGGGCAAGTGATCACACTGAGGATAAATCATCACAATCATCATCATCTCACAATCTTGAAAAGTCCCATGAGCTGAAGGCTCTGTTTCCACAAGCATTAAAAAATCCTTCACCTTTTGGGAAACCAGAGGGAAAATTCATGAAATAATGGAAGTGTTTAGGCAAGTGAAAATCAATCTTCCTCTTCTTGATGCAATCCGTTAAATTACCGCCTATGCCAAGTTTTTGAAAGACTTGTGCACTCAAAAGAGGAAGTCCAAAAACCAAGCACCAAAGAAAGTTCTTCTCACCGAGCAAATGGGTTCCATTCTTTAACATAATACTCTTCCCAAGTTCAAGAATCCTGGTTCTCCCACTACTTCATGCACCATTGGTGATCACGAAATCAATAGGGCTCTTTTGGACTCAGGAGTGAGTGTCAATCTTCTTCCTTACTCGGTGTATCTTCAATTAGGTTTGGGGGAGTTAAAACCCACATCGATTGTTTTACAACTTACCAACTAGTCTATTAAGAAACCTCATGGGATCATTAAAGATGTTCTCATTAAAGTTGATAAATTCTTCTTTCCGGTCGATTTTGTGGTAATTGACACAGAACCGGTCCCTAACCCTAAGAGTTAAATACCCATCATTTTTGGTCATCCTTTTTCGGCTACCACTAATGTGACCATCAATTGTAGGACCGGGGTTATGAAGATCTCTTTCAGACATATAAAAGTCAAATTGAACATTTTTAATCCTACCCCAAATTCTTTTGATAAGCATGAGCAAATGAATCTCATTGAAAAAATGGTTGAGGATTTACCGCTTGTTAATCCATCAAGTGCAAGTGTTCCTCATTCCCATGATTCTACTTTCAAACCTAAGCTCAAAAAGGCAAAGAAGCCAAAATATCTTTCTTTAGGTGTTGAGAGAGGTCCACCAAACATCATTGCATCAAATCCAACAAGTTCCCAAGGGAATAGTGTGTTGGGTGGGATTCAAGGACATTTCCACCCCATGGTGAGGACAACGGTTGTCAAAGTTTTTGATCCGGGCTAGAAAGTAGCCCAACGTCTTACTAGAGACGTTAAACACCAGTTTCGTAGAGTTTCAAATTCTATTTCTCTCCCATTTCTTCTTTTGTTTACCTTATTGTGTCGTCTAAATTGCTTCCAAGGTGTTTCATTTCAAATTTCAGCCAATTTCAGCATTTTTGTGTCCTTACAGCCTAGTACGATTGATCGTCCTGATTTACGATCAATTGCTCTCATTTACGATCGATCGTTATTTGCAGAACCCTATTTTTGCCTGAAAATATGCTCTTGGGATCTATCGTTCGTAAAAATTTACGATCGATCGCATCCAGGTGTGATCGATCGCACCTAGGACCAGTCCTTCAGCCCATCATTTGTAAAAATTTATGATCGATCATGGTTTTTCACGATCGATCGTACTTGTTTCCAAAAAAAAATGTTTCTTTGCATTATTTATTTTCTTACATTTTTAATTACTTGCATTTTTATTCTTTGTCTTTTATTTCCTTCTTTTTTTTCATAATTGGTGTTGTATTGAGCTCAAAAAATCAACATTAATACAGGAGCGCAGAGGCCATATCCTCAGAGAATTGAACTGAAAAGGCCTACAAAGAGAATATGCTTTAATGAATAAGTCCATTTCCAGTACAAAAGCACTATACCAAAATAGATATTACAAAATAACATCATTAAAATTAATTCTCTGAACATCACAAACTTCCAAGAAGGCAGTCCTTGTCACTACCTCAAAAGTTAAGCTATTGGAACCATAAAGTTTATTAGTTCTTTCCCTCCAGATGTACCATAGGCGTGCAGCGAAAAGACTCTGTAACTGCTTTGAATTTTTATACAATGTGTTCATCCAATTACATAAGTCCTAAACTATTACCATTTCCTGAAGCTTACTGATATCCCAACCTAATATCACTCCCAACCATCTCCAATAGCTTTGAGAAAAATAACAGGTGATAAAAACATGGTCTGTCAAATCCAAGTTAGCTTTACATAGAGTACATCTAGCAACCAGACATACCCTTCTTCATTACAAATTACACATTGTAGGTAATCTATCCAATAACACTAGAACAGCTGCAGTGGACAATTTGGGCCGAGCCTTCCCCCAACACAATTTAAACTACTCCACCTCTGTATCAGTATATCGAATAATATTCCATGCAGATTTGAAAGTAAACTTCCCTTTATCCCATAACAAAAGATCCACCACACCTTTAATAACCACACTCTGCAGAAACTCTTAGATCTCAATTTATTTCCTTATGTACATACATGTTTTATTTCAAATATATATATATATATATATATATATATATATATATAACAAAAATAATAATAAAAATAATAAAAATGCTGATTTGATCTCATATCTCTCTTTCACTTTGTATTATATTGCCTTCGAGTACATAATTTGCCCTTCTTTATCCCATTTGATATTTGATGTGAGTTTGCTAGTGTGGCTATTCAAATATGTTTTTGAATCCAAGTTTGGGGAAGATGTCTTTCAAAATGGATCATTGCTAAGTTTTGAGCTTTAATTGCATGATTAAGATTTAAGATTCACTTTAGCAATGATTTTGATCTTTCAAGGCCTATGTTCCATTAAATTGAAAATTTTCTTGACTTGAGAGTTCAAAACTCCGTGTATGCCTTTGGATGCCATTTAGGAGAAAAAATTTTAAAAGATTGATTTCATGCTTGTTTTTGTAGTCGACATCATTTTGTTTGTGAAAACGCTTTGAAGATTAATTTTAGAGTGCTACATTTGCAAATGTGCACACTAGCATTCATTTGTAAGCTACATGCTTAGTTGATTATGTTATGGTTATATCCTAATTGAGCAAGTAGGCTTTAAAAGCTTTCATTCCTGAGAAAATAACCTTATATGCTAATAACAAACCCTTTTACCGAGTAGCTGAGATTCTTGCCTCATTAAGCATTGAATTCTTACACCGAAAAGTGAAGGCCCAATCAATAGCCAAAAAAAATAAAAGTGAGTGCTTCTCACCAAAGGTGGGGAATTGGGAAATAACAAGATGAGAGTTATTTTGTCTTGTAGCCTAGTTGATTTGAGCTTGTAAGTCCTTAGGGGTGTCTTTACATCTAATGCCCTAAAGCCATCCGGTTTGGGAGTCATTGGCCTAACGCTCGTTACATGAATCTTCTAGTAAGCTTAAGAAATCATTACATTGCACCATACTCTTATCTTTAATCCCATAAAAGAAATATAGAGAAAAAGAAAAAGAGAGCATGTTGGAAATAAATTGAATAAAATGTTCATTTCTTTGTCTTGATGATTGCTACTTGATTTATGTGCTAGTTTAAGACCGGTTGTGCCTGGTCACGGCCATTCCAATGTGCCAAAATTGATGATTTAAAATGTGATAGTGCAGCCAAGTTTAAATTTGTGTAATGCCACTACCACTACTAATGTAGTAAGAGCGAGTAAGGATCGTCCCAAGTTATTTGCAAAGTATTCTGAATTTAATGTTGGATTAGTAGGTCGAATGATCAAATAGGGTTTGATTGGTTGAATTATACTAATGGTTCAATTAAAATCATGCAAATTAACAACAATCTAGAAATTAAGGAAAATAGTATGAGAGAAAGGTCTTGGGGCTTAGAGTTTACCGCTAAGCTTCACTTCATCAAACACTAGCAATTGTCAATTTAAGAGGAGTTTTATGTTGTAAGTCAAATGTGTGTGTGTGTGTGTGTGTGTGTGTGTGTCATTAATTGAAAACTAAGCATGGATGGCAAATAAGCATAAATTGTCTAATCAATCTAGTGAGTAGCACAACCTATCAAATAAGACTATTAACCATTCAATTAAACCACAATTAATGCACACACAAAAATATAGAGAAATGTACTACTTGCTCTTATAAGCATGGATCATCAAACAACAAGAGTAAATTGTTTACCTATTTAGGAAATTAAAGCAATTACACTATAACTATGTTAATGACATACAAATTAAACTAATTAAGCTAAGGAGGTAACACAATCCATCAAGAAATAAGCATGATCCATTAAATAAACCACAAGAGTAATCAATTAAGCATCATACCTTGACCATCACTAGATCTATAATTTCAACACACATAGACATGCATCAAACTTATAAAAACTAGTGTTAAGCGCATGAACATTCATTCTAGTACACATAGACATATGGATAGAACTAAATGATCAATTGAAAGCATTAATTCATACAAATCATGTAAAAACACAAGATCTATATTTATTCATGGTCAAAACATCAATTACAACTAAAATCCCCAAAAATCTACAAAAGACTAGGTTTAAGAAGCAAGCCTAGGGGCTAATTCTAGCCCCAAGTGAGGAATTTAGCCACTCATAGTAGGTGGCATCCAACCATCAAGGGCCATCTTCATGGTGGAATTGATCTTCTTCCTCCTTGGTGTTCTTCCCAAAACCCTAGTTCTAAAGAGAAACTATTTCTATAATTGGTAAAATATCAACTAGAGGAACTTTTTACAAATTGGTTCATTTAATTTAAATACAATGCTCTTTGAGTAGGCAACAAGTCAGAAATAAGGCTTTTGATTGGTGAAAACTCACACTTACAAAAGTTGGTAGAGTTCGGGTGTGCTCGGGAATTAGACAGCACACTACCAACAGTAACTTTGATCGATCCAACACTTGCTTCGATCGATCAAAGCTAACGTGGCAAGATATTTTTAACACTTGGCAACCCTATCCATTGAGCTGGCACCGCTTTGATCTTGATCGATTGCAGATGTCTTCGATTAATCGAAGCCTCAACAGTGCAATTTTTCTGACTTCTTCCGGATCTTCTCCTTAGCTCCAAAATTGAGCTAAAAGGCTCTTTTTAGCCTATTTGAACCTTATTGACCTGAAATAGACAAAAACACAAATAAGAACTAAAACATGAAAGTAAGATAGATGATTGGACTAAAATACCCTAACTTAGGTGCTAAAATGCATCACATTTGAGCACTTATCACACCTCCAAACTTAGATATTGCTAGTCCTTAGCAATAAACTACAAAGAAAAGAAAGAAATAAACAACTAAGTAACTATGAACTAGAAAGCAATGAAAGGATAGCGCTAGTTTCGTAGGGAACACGATTGCATTTAGAGTATGCAACAAGCCTTTTGAACCCCTAGGTTACCTCTAGTGGATGATTAAAGTCTCATGAATGTTTCCAGAAATGATACCCACAAACATTAAGCTCTTTCTCAGTTAAGAGGCACCAACATATAAAACAAGCATTGGGAGAAAACTACCTCAAATATGTAATTTTTCAACCATTTCCAAGCAACTCTCCAAAATTTCAACACCAAGCAAGCAAGTATGGTCCTTCACACATCAAGACAATGATCATGAAAATCAAAACAACTCTAAAATCCTTTTTAAGTGAACCGGCATCAAATATATTGCTATATAAGCCAACTAGAGAAATGATCACATGCGGCCTCAAGCTAGCACACTAATCTAGTACCGATCATCAAGACAAAGAATGAACCTTTTTATTAAAAGCTTTATTCAACTAGGTGTACTTATTTTATTTTATTTTTTTTGTTGGATCAAAGATGGAAGCATGGTGCAATCAATGTGTTGATCTATTAAGCATTCTAGCGATTCATGAGGTCGAGCGTTAGGTCAATGACTCCCAAACCGGACGGCTTTAGGGCACTAGGTGTAGAAACACCCCTAAAAACTTACAAGCTCAAATCAACTAGGCTAAAAATTAAAACAACCTCCATCTAATCATTTCCCACTTCTCACCTTTTGGGAGAAGTCCTCACTTTTATTTGCTTTTGCAAATTTGCTTTTTTTTTTTTAACCTAGAGTTTGGGTCCTCCACCTTTTGGCACAAGAAATTCAGTGTTTGATGAGACTAGAATCCAAGCCACTTAGTGAAAAGGGTTTGTTATCCACCTTTGTCAAGAATGAAAACTTTCAATGCACTACTAGCTCAATTGGGATATAACTAAATCAATAATCAACAAAGCATGTACCCCACAAATGAATGCTAGTGTGCGCATGTGCTAGTGTAGAATCCTAGAGTGAATTTCAAAACAATCACAAAATCAGGATGATGTGAACTATAAATGTAAGGACGATATCAATCTTTCGAAAAAATTACTCCTAAATGGCATCCACAAAGCATACAAGGAGTATTAGACTCTCAAGTCAAGCAATTTTTAAATTCTAAGTATCATAGTTCTTAAAAGATCAAAATCATGGCTCAAAACTTTCAAGTCATACCACATGCATAAAAACTAAGTGCGACATGTAAAATATGCTAACACATCCCCAAACTTATTCTGTGCATTTTCCTTAATATGCAAAGAAGCAACAGATAATGGAAAGAGTATACCAAATGGGTGTAGCAAATAGGACTCGGCACCGGAAGCTTAGCATAAAAAGGCGCACCTCCAAACTTGGATTCCAAAAACCTGTCTGAAAAATGGTCACACTAAGAACTGTTAAAGCATATATATCAATGATATAAATGAGAGGTGAAACTGAGAACTGGGCAAAATTCATAGCATATAGCAGTATAAAGCTCAGAATATCCAAAACTGATATCAAAATCCAAAAATCTATATATATCAAGTAAATCTAAAACCATAATCCAAAAATCAATGAATATGAAGTGCACGACAAAAATATCTAAAATATCCAAAATTGGGGGCAGATATCAAATCAGTGCAAAAATATCCCAATAATAACAGTGTAGCAAAATATCAGTGTATCAGAACAGATAATAATAGAGATAGAAAATGGTAGAATAAGGGAGCAGCATCCGGAGCCATCATGTCGGCAATGATTTGGAGCATCCGTAATGTCGCAATATCTCTCGTCGCCTCGAAAATGTATGTCCTCAAGTCATCAGATCGCCGAACTAAATTATCGTGCCTCCTCACCAAATCATCATAACACCTTGTGATATCCTCGTGATACCCGGTAATGTCAGCTCTAAAAGAAATGAAGTCTGTATGCAGCTGAATGAAATCAGATCTGTAGCTAGAATCTGAACTGGCATGACGGGATCAAGAATCGGCCTTTGGTATCGGCTCTATAGGAGGGACATGAGAGGGGCCGGCTTACTGGGATGCAAGAGGTACATCTAGCTGTGAAGTAGATGCGAAAGTAATAGTGCGTCGTAGCTGTCTAAGAAGTGATCCATCGGCTGCCTCCTCTGCAGCTGCATCCTCTTCGGTTCTCTTCTGATCTCACTTCCTTTTGTTGTCTTTTTTCTTCCTATTCTTGAGGCAAGAATTATAAGTCTTTGTCTATTTGGCAATGTTATATGCCCTCTTAGCTCTCTCTACATTAGTCTTATCCGGGTTAAAGTGGTAGCCCTAGTAAATCAACAACTATGTAATCAGGTGGCCATATAGTAAAGGCCAAGCATCAGTTCTAGAATTATGTGTGAAGATCAGATTTTTCCAGAACTTATGAATGATCTCCCAGATAAGAGCAAGAACAGAAATCCAGCAACCCTGGCTCAAAAATTTAAAGCCTAGAGAATCCTCTCTCGCCTCTATGTGCTATGGCCTGAAGGAAAGGCATTAAGGTGCAACACAGAATCAAAGAACCAGTATTGGGGATCAATATCAACTCGATCTCCAAATGTATTGCCTTCAAAGGCTGCCTGTGGAGATAGCGTCGCAACCATGGTCATCTCAGAGGGATAAGGTGGAGCACTGGGATATAATGGATCCTCAGAGCCAGCGACCAATGAAGAGAGGTGGGGACATCGGCAAGCAGTAAATATGGCAGGGATAGAAATGTCGATATCCTAACCATCTATAGTCGTATGCATCAATAGTCGATCATCCTCATCCAATCGGAGGTGCTGGAAGAACAATGCAACCAACCAGGGATAGACTATAGTGTTTGCCAATGTCATGATAGCATCGATGCCCCAACGAGTGAGCTCATCATAAAACCACTTGGTCTGCTCCAACTCAGAAAATGGATCGTGGTCGAATCTAAATTCTAACTCAAGTTTCTTGCCAGAGTAAGAGAGAGAAGGCACTGCTCGGACGATAGGACCCTGTGCCTCCATAAGAGATGGCTCTGAATGGACTAATGCAGATGGGGTAGCCTCAATAGAAGATGAAGATGAGTCCACCTCTAGAGATGGAGGAGGTTGAGGAGGTCTGGGAACTCTTTTTCCAACAAGAGTCTTTTGCCTACACTGCACCTACAAAAGCAACAAGAATAAATCGATGCACATGTATAGAATAAGGTAAACATCTGATAAGAAAATACAAAGCATGCCTGAATCAAGTAAAAACAGAGAATAAACAAATATGATCATGCTCATGCAGGAAATGATCAGGATAGCTTCAAGAAAATCAATCAACATGCTTCAATTAGACAAGAATGGATCATGGCATAATAAGCAATCTCAGGTATGCAAAATAATGCAATAATAGCTTAGAGGGCAGAAAAGTCACTTTTGAAAATATTTAAACAAAATGGGATCAAAAGAACAAGCAAAGGCTGTGATATGCATAAATGATGCAACGTGCATTCACAAACCTAAAAATAATGAAGATTCTGCAATTTCATGGCAAGTAGACCCTAGGATGACATCGTATCAATTCCTAAACAAGAATGTCTACAAATTTAACATTTAAGACCAATGAAGCAAGCAAGATAACATGGAGTCTATAATCATGGCAAATGTCAACCTAGAACTTAAGAAGCATGCATATCATGTAATAAAGACTAAGTGGAATGCACGATTGCATAACACTTCAATCCAAGGCATATTATGATACACAAGTTCAAATATGAATCCTGACATGGTATGCAACTACATGGCATATATATGAATGATGCACAAATATCAACAACTCCAGACAAAGAAATATTCCGTACTCCATTTTAACAAAATCAACATCCTATGATCACTCATGGCTCGTGACCCCCTCTAAGCAATAAATAAGCAGAAAAATGATCGCTTTTGGCTCGCGACCCCTTTTAAGCTTAAATGAAGCAAAGATTGGTCAACAACTGAGAATAACAAGAGACTTACCAATTTTGAATCAAAATTAGGACCAGAAAGAACCTCGGTCTCAAACCCTTACTTGGCTTTTCAGAAATGGATCACAAGTGTATAATATCAAGCAAATGGCAATTAAACAGATCAACTTTCCAAGACAAAACAAACATACCCCCAAACTTAGTTCAAATTGTATTTTAAAGTTCAAGTTATGCTCACAAATAGATACTAAGGCCAAAGAACAACAATGATATGTCCTAGTATGGCAAGAATCAAAAATTAAGTACAACAAGTTCAAAAGCACTTAGAACATGCAATTGGATGGAAAGGAATCAAATGGAACAAGTTTCAACTCAACCAAGGGCATTTTAGTCAACTTTGGAATTTCTCAACACTTTTGGAGCAAAATTGGAATTTTTTGAAAACTTTGGAGTCCAAACATTCAAATACATTGTATAAAAGCTTAATACAAGAATCATACATTGAAAGGTTGACAAAAGAAGGAATTAAGCAACTCGACTTCTCATTTTCAAAATAAAGTTCAAAAATCCCTTTTTTTTTAACATTTTGAAAACCAAAAAGTGTGATCACAAAGCATTTTAAGCAATCAAAGATCATTTTACTAAAGCAATGCACTTAAATCATGAGCTATAGGCAATTGAAGATCAAAACTTTCAAGACGGTCCATTTGAAACTCATTCATGCAATTTAAACAAGACTTTGCATTTTCAAATTCAAAAGCACAAGTTTCAAGTCGAGTCATGCATTTCATGCTTTTAGACAAACATCCATGCATTTCATACTCAAAACAATCAAATGAAACAAGTCGGGGAATTATGCTCACAACATTTCAACATTTCAATGCCATTTCAAATTCAAAATTTTGAAGAATTTTTCAAGTGCAACAAGATTTCCATTTCACTTCAAATTTCAAGAAAAACAAGTTCTTTTAGAAATTCAAGTTCTTATTTCAGATTAACAAACAACTTTCCAAATTTGAATTTTTCTTTTTCAAGTCAAGTCAACTCTAACATCTAACTTTAAAAATTCTTTTCAATTTCCAATTTCAATTTAAGTTTAAAAACTCTATTAAAACAAGACCACATGCCATTTTTAGAATTAAACTCACAATTCAAGGTCAATTTTTGCAAAAATCCGCTATAGGTTCCCCTTAAAAATAGTCATTCCAAAATTTTTCAAAAGCACACAATCATGCATTTTAACATTTAATGAAATATCTAAACATTCTCATAGGGTTTAAATGGCATTCAACATTTCAAAATCCATTCAATCACGGCAAATGGGACACCGCCCATAACAAACCATGTTTAAAATTGCCCATTCTCCTTTTAACTATAACAACAACCACAATCCATTTTTCAATGCTGCCCAAACTTCTTAATTACAATTGTCAAAGCCCACAATCACAGTCCAATTGGTCCATCTTTAGTTTAAATTCCATTCATTATTTATTATTTTTATTTTATTGATTTTTTCATTTTTCATTTTTTGTTTTTGATTTTTTAATTTTTATATTCATTTTTCATTTGAACATAAAATATGCAAACATATATGGAAATATATGGGAATATGTACAAACATATGCAAACAAACAAAAATCAAGAATAAAAATAAATTTCGACATACCCGGTGCTGAGAAAAAGAGTGAAGGTGGAAATAGGGAAATTGGAGACGAAACAAAAATTTCTGGCGTCACCGTAGCCGAAAGGGATGATCTGAGGCTCGCCAGAGTTCGCCAGAAAATACAGAGTTCACCGAAGTGATAAATTGATCTTTCCTTGGCCTAGATTGACCGAAGACGATGAAGATGAGAGAAGCCGAGAGAGATTTAGGCTAAAGAGGACGAACAAGCTTGGCCTTTGGCCAAAAGGTTCGCCAGAAACTATTGTAAATGGCGGCGACTTGGTTGGGTTCGCTAGAAGCTTCGCCTGCACGAGGAAGAGAAAGTGGAGGTGGTTGGGTGGGGATGGTCTTGGGTCGCCGGAGTGAAGAGGTTGAGAGTGAGAGAGAGTTAGAGATTGAGATGGAGAGGGAGGGTTTTGGAATCGGGGAGAGAGAGTAAGCTGAGACAGAGAGGAGATGAAGAGGTAGAGAGAAAGAAATAAGAAAGAAGGGAGGAGAGAGAAAAAGGAAATAAAAAATAAATGATTTTAGGGTCGAAAACCCAACGGCCAAAGCAATTCTCGGAATTTCAAAAGATGTATTTTCAATCGATCGATCGATCAAAGGGGCCTTCGATCGATCCAACACTTTCTACGATTGATCGAAATGGAAGATAAAGAGTCATAATTTCAAGGCTTTGATTGATCGAAGTGGAAGTGGAACTTTAATCTATCGAAATTGGCTTCGATCGATCCAAAGTACACTGGAAATGCAGGAAATGTAGGAAATTGCCCAGAACTGGAATGATCAACTTCAACTCATATCTAGACGACGCGAAAAATAATAAAACAAGAAATGAGGGAGGAATAAGGTTGGAAAAACCCTACGAAGCACTAGTCTTTAACGTCTCTAGCAAGACGTTGGGCTCTTTTAACCCGGATCAAAGATCTTATAAGACATCTCCTTCTCAATGGGGTGAATGGAACTTCGAACCCCACCCAACAAACTATTCCCTAAGGAAATTGTTGGATTTGGTTCAAGTGAAATTGACGGCTTCTTATCAATAAAACTTTTGGGCTTCCATGCCCTTTCAACACTACAATTCAAGACATCTTTTGAAAATTCTTTTGAAGGCAAACCATTTGATGTTTCAACACAAAGTAATGACTCATTTTTCTAAACTTCATTGTCAAAACATTTTTCCATAACACAAATATCTTCATGTTTGTTCATAGAATTTGGGGTTGGATTAAAAATGTTCAACTTCACTTTTATGTGGCCAAAAGAAATATTCATTATCCCTATCCTACAATTAATGTTGGCATTAGCGGTAGCCAAGAAGGGATGGCCAAGGATAACGAGAATTTGGCTCTTAGGATTTGGAACCGATTCTGTGTTGATGACAACGAAATCAATTGGGAAGAAGAACTTGTCAATTTTAATCAAAACATCCTCTATAATTCCCTGGGGCTTTTTAATTGATCGGTCGGCTAGTTACAAAACTACCAACATCGGTTTCAAATCACCTAAGCCCAATTGAACATAAACCGAATAAGGGAGAAGATTCACACTCGCCCCTAAATCCAAAAGAGCTCGATTAATAAGATGGTCACCTATAGTGCATGATGTAGTGGGTGAACCGGGTCTTTGAATTTGGGAAGGGTGTTGTGTTATAAGATAAAGCTCACTTTCTCAGTAAGAACAACTTTTCTCGGTGCTTGGCTTTTGTTTTTCCTCTTAAGAGTGTAAAGATCTTTAAAAAAATTGGCATAAGACAGAATTTGTCAAATTGCATCCAAGAGAGGAAGATTGATTTTAACTTGCCTAAACACATCAATGATTTCATTAGCTTTGGTTTATTACTTTTCAAAAGATGTGGATGCTTTCAAAGCGTCCAGAATTGGAGCCTTTGTCTCAAAAGATCTTTCAAAAACATTCTTTAAAGCATTCTCTACAACTTGGTCCTTTACAATTAATAAATGAGGAATAGAATGTGAAACGGGACGGATGACTAGGTTGCACCGGTTTACTCTTTTCATTAGACTCATCAACTTGGTTGTTAATACCCTTTCCACTTCTTAAAGTGGTCACCGCATTCACATGTTCAAGTGTATGACCTTCCGAAGGGGAAGTGGTCTCCACAACAAATTGTTGCTTAGGTGAGGGATGCAAATGCATTTTTCCTTTCTCTCTCGCATTCAAAGTGCTAGCTATTTGCCCTACTTGGGTTTCTAGCTTTGCAATTGATTGGGAGTGAGAATGAAGTAATTGAGTATTTGCCTCCAAAGTACCTAAAGCGGATAAAATTTTCTCTTTAAATGCAGGACTTCTTGAATTACCTTGAGAATATGATGATTGATTTGGAAAATGATTATTTGAAAATTGATTTCCATTTGGTGCTTAGTAAGATGAACGATAACCTTGGGAACCTTGGCTTTGCATAGGGGGTTGAATATACTTGTTTTGGAAACCACTTTAGGGAGGGTTTGAGATTTCCGCTTGGCTTTTCCAAGAGAAATTTGGATGGTTCCTCCACCCGGGATTATAATGAGTGCTATAGAGATTATTCTCTTGATTAACAAAAGCGGTATTCACTTGTTTATGGTGTTCACTATACGCATGTCCATGGGGACAATTGGAAGTAGAATGCAACATACTAGAACAAGTCATACAAGATTCATTGGAATGATGATGATGATTAGGGGAGGAAGACACTTGATGAGCCGAATTTTGGTTGGTCAAAAATTGGTCAAACCTTTGAGATAAAGACTTTACTTTGGCAACTATGTCATTAGAATTATCAACTTGATATAAGCTTGAATTCTTCTTTCCACCTACATTTATACCATTTTTAGAAGACAAGGATCGGTGCATTGAGTTTTTACTCATGCTCTCATATAAACGCCACACATCATTTTCATGTTTGTCTAAATAGGAACCTCTCATTAAGGCATCAACCATGCCTTTATGGTTATCCGACAAACTTTCAAAGAAATATTAAATTAATTGCCACTTTGGAATGTCGTGATGAGGACTTTTCCTAAGCAAATCATTCAACCTTTCCAATGCCTTATGAAACATTTCCCCATCCCCTTATGAAAATTCATGAATTGAAGTCTTATGGCATTGGTTTTAGACATGGGATAGTACTTTCTCAAGAACTCTTGTTGCATTTTCACCCAAGAAGTTATAGAAAAAGGTCTCAAATTGTTGAACCAATATTTTGCCTTATCTTTTAGGGTGAAGGGAAAAAATTTTAACTTTAAAACTTCTTCTGGCATGTCCGTGTATTTGATGGTGGAACAAACTTCAAGAAATTCATCCAAATGCTTATATGGTTCTTCATTAGGTAGCCTAAAATAATTGGGAAGCATTTGAATAGTTTGTGGCTTGATTTCATAATGATGTGCTTTGAATTAGGGAAGACGAATGCATATTGGTGCATTATATTCATTAGGCATATAATGGTCTCTCAAAGCCATAGGAGGATTTACAATTTGTGGCTCTACATAAGCCCCATGATTTACTTGAACAACGAGAGGTAGAGGTGTCACAAAGAATGGCCTTGGCATTCCAATTAGAACTTGGCCTTGTGGTTGTGAAACAAAAGGTCTAAGCATGCTTAATGGAACTTGCATATTATCATGTTGTTGTTGCACATTAGGGTGGAGAATGTCTTGCTGGTCTATGTGACCAAGGTCTTCAACACGTTCCTCAATATGGTTATCAATTGATGAAATGGATTCACTTGAATTACCCCTTCCCCTTGGATTACGCACAATTGATTCAAGATTGAAATTCAATGAGACAAGAGGGCAATTTAGAGATCTACGACCATGCACAATACAAATCAACACAAACAACAACTCAACAAATAACAAATACCAAACACTTCTCCTCCACAACAAATCAATCAACAACAAGCCTCCACATATATTGATCCCATGCTCCCATGCTTTCAAAAATCCAAGAAAAGTAAAATGCCTCCACGCAGGCCGATGATAAACAATGAAATAAAATGCCTCCACGCGGGCCGACAATTTAACTAAGGCAGAGGAGTTAGAATTGCTCACAGAGGGTCCTTAAGCAACTTCAAAATATTTTTAAGCTTTTTACCTTGCTTTGTTTTTGCAAATTTTTTTATTTTTAGCTTTTTATGATTTTTGCTTAGCTTAGCTTACTTCTTTGCTTTGAAGTTCCTTTGCGTTGCTTTCCTTGCTCCAAGTACCTAGTCAATCAAGAACAAACATAATAAGAAAACAAAGTAAAATAAAGTAAAAACAAAGATCAAAGGAGTACTAATTCCTAATTAATTCCAAATACGACGTTGTTAATCCCCTGCAACGGCACCAAACTTGGTCACGACTGTTCCTATTTGTCAAAATTGATGATTTAAAATCTAATAGTGCAGCCAAGTTTAAATTTGTAAAATCTAAGAGCGAGTAAGGATTGTCCTAAAGGATTTGCAAAGTATTCCAGAATTAATGTTGGATGAGTAGGTCGAATGATCAAATATGGTTTGATTGGTTGAATTACACTAATGGTTCAATTAAAATCATGCAAATTAACAACAATCTAGAAATTAGGGAAAATAGTATGAGAGAAAGGTCTTGGGGCTTAGAGTTCACCGCTAAGCTTTACTTCACCAAACACTAGCAATTGTCAATTTAAAGGGAGTTTTATATTTTAAGTCAAATATGTGTGTGTGTGTCATTAATTGAAAAATAAGTATGGATGGCAAATAAGTATAAACTGTCTAATCAATCTAGTGAGTAGCACAACCTATCAAATAAGACCATTAACCATTCAATTAAACAACAATTAATACACACACAAAAATATAGAGAAATGTACTACTTGTTCTCATAAGCATGGATCATCAAACAATAAGAGTGGATTGTCTACCTATCTAGGAAATTAAAGCAATTACACTACAACTAAGCTAATGACATAAAAATTAAACTAATTAAGCTAAGGAGGTAGCACAATCCATCAAGAAATAAGTATGATCCATCAAATAAACCACAAGACTAATCAATTATGCATCATGCCTTGACCACACTAAATCTATAATTTCAACACACATAGAGATGTATCAAACTCATAAAAACTAGTGTTAAACACATGAATATTCATTCTAGTATACATAGACATATAGATAGAATTAAATGATCAATTGAAAGCATTAATTTATAGAAATCAATTAAAAACACAATATCTATATTTATTCATGGTCAAAACATCAATTACAACTAAAAGTCCCCAAAAATCTACAAAAGACTAGGTTTAGGAAACAAGCCTAGGGGCAAACTTTAGCCCCAAGTAAGGGATTTAGCCACTCAAAGTAGGTGACATCCAACCCTCAAAGGCTATCTTCATGGTGGAATTGATTTTCTTCCTCCTTGGTGTTCTTCCCAAAACCCTAGTTCTAGAGAGAAACTATTTCTATAATTGGTAAAATATCAACTAGATGAACTTTTTACAATTAGTTCATTTAATTTAAATACAATGCTCTGTGAGTAGGCAACAAGTCAGAAATAAGGCTTTTGATTGGTGAAAACTCACAGCTACAAAAGTTGGTAGAGTTTGGGCGCGCTCGAGAATTAGACAGCACACTGCCAGTAGTAACTTCG